CAAGGCATTGCTTCGAGGTCGGAAATGCGCGACGCCCATCCCGAAGGTCAAACTCGAGCCAAGACCGAAGGGCTCGACCCAGTAACGAGTTCGTGCCAGTATCGAGCTCACACACGAGCTGTTGCAACCGCACCAAGAGAGAGAATCTTGGCGGGAATCGAGGAAGAGACAAATCATCATGGGTCCTCCACTATATGTTTTATTTTATTATTTTTTGTTATAAATAAAGTAATGACCCTCTACTATAAAAGGGGGATCCTTGTAAGTTATGGACATACTAAATACACTAGAACAAAAGATATCTCCTTGTGCTTGTTTTACTTCATTTTATTCATTCTTTCTGATTCATTATTCCATTTTTGTAGTCAAGAATATTCGTATTGATATGTCTCTATACGATTTGTATCAAAGGGTATCACGTAATCCTTAGAACCATACACAAATTTAACGTTATCCGATTTTTCGGGTAAACAGTTTGGCGTCCACCGTGGGGCTAAGGATAACAATGATTGTTTGACATAAATCTGTAGTACACACCAATTTACAACTTCAAATCAGCAATGGCTTTACCTATCAACCACGAAGCCGGCCTTCAAGATGAAACCAACAACTTGGCACCCGGGGGGGCGGAAGGCCACTTGACGATGGCACTGAGGCTCGAATCGAAGTACCCAAAATTCGAGCCGAAGTACCATTGGATGTCAATTCACGAATAGCTCTGGAGGCGAATTAGCGTTCCGAACCGGAAAAAAATATTCAGGGCGGTACTCGATCCGTAGCCCGAGATACCCATAACGCGGGGGAAATCAGAGCCAGCTTACGTATGATCTTCGAGATGCTACAAGCCCAACAAGTAGTGATAGCCCAGTTACAGAGCCAAACTCATATACAAAGCAGGACGAATCCCAATCCGCTTCGAGAAATCACCCCCAGAACGGAGCCCGCCATAGTGAAATCAAACGAGCAAGAATCGGGGACCACTCCCGAAATTACTAAATTGCTCGAGGAACTCACAAAACGAATCGTAGCCAACGACAAGAGAGTGGAAACGTACAATGCCTGGGTCGATCAAATCCCGGGGGCTCCACCAATGATAAAAGGGCTTGATTCGAAAAAATTCATACAAAAGCCTTTTCCCTCGAGTACGACCCCAAAACCAATCCCCAAAAAATTTCGTATGCCCGAAATTCCCAAATATAACATTACGACCGATCCTAACGAACACGTCACCTCTTACACATGTACCATCAAAGGTAACGATTTGGAGGAAGATGAGATCGAATCTGTGTTGTTGAAAAAGTTCGGGGAGACCCTCTCGAAGGGAGCAATGATCCGGTATCACAATTTACCGCCAAATTCCATCGATTCTTTTGCCATGTTAGCAGATTCGTTCGTAAAGGCACATGTTGGAGCCATAAAGGTTGCAACAAGGAAATCAGACCTCTTCAAAGTAAAGCAAAGGGGTAATGAAATGCTGAGGGAATTCGTATCCCGATTTCAAATGGAATGCATGAAATTGCCACCGGTCACAAACGATTGGGCCGTACAAGCTTTCACCCAAGGGTTGAACGAGCTAAGTTTGACAGCATCATGTCGGCTGAAGCAAAATTTGATCGAGTATCCAGCAATAACTTGGGCAGATATACACAACCGATATCAATCGAAAATTAGGGTCGAAGATGACCAGTTGGGAGCTCCGTATGGACCCATGCATCAGAACAGGACAGCTACAAAAAACCAAAGGGAGATCGACATAGAACAAAGGTCGAACAGAGACCGATATCAAGCGTACGTCGCAGATCGGATGAACAGCGGTTCAACACGCCATACAGTTCGGAACAATCGAAGGATTGATCGAGGGAAAAATTCTCGGGGATTTATGAGCAAGAGCGGCTTTGATAAATATGTCGATCCTATAGAAGCACCTTGGTTATCAGAGTATAACTTCAGCGTTGGTGCATCCGCCATCGTGTCGGCTATCGGACGCATCAAAGACACCAAGTGGCCTCGACCCATGCAGACCGATCCTGCCCAAAGGAATCCCAATCAAATGTAGGAATATCATGGCACCCATGGTCACAGAACGGAAGATTGCAGGTAACTAAGAGAGGAAGTAGCCCGCTTATTTAACAAAGGGCACCTTCGGGAATTTCTGAGTGATAGGGCGAAGAACCATTTTAACAACAGGGATTTCGGAAAGCAAAACGAGCAAGAAGAACCGCAGCACGTCATTCACATGATCATCGGTGGCGCCGATACCCCTCAGGGACCAATGCTTAAACGCACTAAAACATAAATTGTGAGGGAAGAGCGATCTCGGACTCAAGATTACGCACCCATAGGGACTTTGTCCTTCGATGATGAAGATGCAGGAGTCATCCAACCTCATAACGATGCACTAGTAATATCAGTACTCATGAATAAAACTAAAAT